TCTATTTTTTCAACTGTGAAAGTTCATTCCGTTCACGTCTAGAATTCAAATGTCAAACGATTAATATATATTGGACATCTATATATCTTTCGACTTGTAGTAAACTAACTTAGTCTTCTTTTTCAACACAACGTACTCGGGAGTTTTGAAATAATTGCAGATGAAGATTGAAGATGTTTTTTTTTTTTTTGCTAATCAAGATTTAAGATGTTAGTAAAATATTTATGAGATTTAAAGTGTTAATGTGCCTTATCTTTAGTAAAATATTTATCAAATAACGTAGACTTTTATAAATGACCGGTTATGTATTAATTTAGAAAAGAGAAAAGTAGTAAAAATGTCATATTTGAAAATAACGTATTAAATAAGTTTAATGGAATGTCTACTCCTACCTCGATGGGTTGAATAAGGATCTTGCATTGTTATAGTATGAGAAAGCTACTAAAAAGTAGAAAGTTAAAGAGTTGTTCAATACTTTATGCATTATAAATTACACATTGCTAAAAGTGTTAGGACTCAAGTGGGTGAGGGACAAAACTAGTGACCAAATTCTTTGCTTCTCGTACCAAACCGATGTGAAATCTAAAAGTGACGTTGATCAGAAAGAGAACATGCATTCGACAAAGAGGGTTAGATATATCTTTGTTTAATAACCAAAATTTCGATAGGTTATGGATTTGTGGGTGTCATTTTACATGTTAACCGTATTCATCTTATTAATCTATATTTATATTTACTGTATTCATCTTATTTTACACATTAACCGTATTTATGTCGGTGTTTTTAATAATAACATCGATATCAGTCACGCATATAATTGTTCAAATTACATGTTATTTTCCCGACGACATGCGTTTACCATTACGTTTCCTTTAAATCACATCACATTTCTCGTTATTTTTTTGTTTAAGTTACGTTTTAATTATTTGCCATGTTTTTTTTTTCTTTCAAGTTATGCATTTGATTTTCTACATACCGAGTTAATTTGATAGAAGTAAGATGTGATAAAGAAGTGGGAATAAGTTAAAAAAAAAAAGAAATAAAGAAGTGGGAAATTCAATATATATATACACCGTATTTTTGTGGAATTTGGTGAAAATTCAATATATATATACAACGTATTTTTGTGGAATTTGGTGAAGTTCGTGAATTCTTACGAGGTTTAATTCTCTTTATTTAGGTAATACGAATCTTATGATAATTAACTACTAG